CCGTTCTGGGGTGGCTGCGTCCAGAAGCTTGGCTGAGCCTCCCATACACATTTATTTGTCTTCCAGGAAGGTGTACTAGGCCTCCTGAAGGCTCAGATCAAGTGTAGCACTTTCCTTCACTTAAATGGGATCACAGCACTCCCACTGAGTCCCTCAGCTTGCACCTCTCAGACCCAGAGCAGCTGGCGGGAGGTTCCTGATGCCGATGGAGGGGATTGCATTTCCCACCCAATCCTCCAGCCATAGGATCAACTTCTTATTGGTGGACAAAGCTCTCTTCCTACCTTGCCTCCCAGCCCCATACCATGAAATGGCTCACCACGGGGGCCGAGGAGGAGGAGCAGTGCTGCAGAGATCAGGAAAGTGGTCAGTACCCAAAGGCCTGGTCTCCACACTCTGTGCTTGTGAACTGGGCAGGGACCAATTCTCATTTCTGCTTCTCCCTCGTCCCACAGGCAATCGTCCGACTGTCTCTCAAGAAGATGAGAGGCCACACCTGGAACATTCAGTACAAACATTAGCAACTGTGATGGCAAAGCCTTGGAGCCCCATGCACAGACGAGGCCTCCATTGTGCTGGGCACTGTACAGAGCAGAGCAATGTTCATGTTCTCTTCCCCCATTGAATCACGGGGCAAGAAGGGACCTCAAGGGTTGCCCAGTCAAACCCTCTGCACAGCTGCAGGATCCACTGCTCCCCAGAGCTCACAGTCTATGTGACAAACACTGCAGATTAGTGCCCATCTGTAAGCCCTTCCGGCACAGCTCTGCACACCCATGATAACAACACAACCTTTCTAAGAAGCGTGTTGCTCACTTGTTTCCTGGCTCTGGCATACAAGTCCTGCTAATGTATATTTGATGCTGCAGGGAAGCTGAGGCATGAAGAACTGAAATGACTCATTTAAAGTCAAAGCACAGTCAAGAGTAGAGCACAAGGGCACACACCCCTATGCCAAACAAGCACAGGATTGAAGGGGCCTACTGGGTCACTGAGCCCAACTCCTGCTATCATGCCTGCAAATTTATAGCAGCTGAGCACCAACCAGTAAGGTGGTTTGAATCCACTGCTCCTCCGGGGAGGCTGTTACAGGGCTCCATTCTTCTAACGGTTAAAAACCTTTGTAGCTCCTGGTTTTTATTCCCTGATGCGTCCCTGACCCCTCTCAGCTGTCTTGGTGCTGAGCTACACAAACTGGGCTCTTCCCCTCCTTCCTGCCCATCCTGTTTCACAGCTGAATTGTGCTGTTGGCCCTTAGGGCACATCCACTCTGCTTCCCTCGTGCCTGGGAGGACCACCAGGAGTCACCCCATCTGCTCATGCTGCTCCATATGTGCCTGATCCCCAAAAGGGTACAGTAATGGTACCTTTGATTAGCCCTGAGTCAATAAGCATCCCAAGACAAGGAGTCCAAGAACAGTGCAGGGCTTATGTTCAGCACTACTCTAAGGTGCCTATGTTGCCTCATTTGGTAGAGCAAGCATATGCAGAGTAAGTGAGTGGATGGTGTATGTTGCACTGAAGCCCTCCCACACACAACCCAGAAGAAGTCAGCTTATGTCCTTAGTCACCCTGTGATTAGCTTATGCATCCAAAGCATCCTCATCCACTTCACCAGAGACTTTGCTTCCTCTCTCTTCGAAGAACTAAGAACTAAGAGAACCCAGGAGTCCTGGCTCCCCAACCTTTCCTGCTCGAGTCCTGGCTCCCCAAGATCTAGTCAAAGTAGGCTCCAGCCACAAGACATGTTTCCTTCTCTTGTGAATAAACTCACCCCAGCAACGCAGAAGAAGACAGGAGCAGATAGGAACATGGAACTGATATGACAGTCATGCACCAGGGGAAAGAAGCCAAAGCAGATCCAAGTGGGACAGGATCAAGAGGGAAGAAGAAAAATGTCAGAGAGAAAATGAGGGAGATATTAAAGATAATAAGATGCTATTTCCCCTGTGTGCTGCTCTCTCCTCATAAATTACTGTCAAGGAGGACACCTGCTAGCTTGCTGGCTTCCTTTGCACCTGCTAGTTTGCAAGGAACGCCAGCTTGCTACAGCTTTGCTAAAGCCCTGAAATGGGCAGGGAGCCAGGCTCTGCTCACATTTACTCTGGCTAAGCTCTACTGCAGTTGATTTATACTGGGCTAAGTCAATTTATACTGGCTAAGACAAGAAGTGGGCCTTGTAAAGGAGCCCTGGCCTTTGTGACTTCCCAGCACGTGGAAAATGACAAGCTGGTGACATCGTTTACACAGCTGATCTCTTCTGACACTGGGTCCTGTGCATGCCCAACAATAAGCACATCAGAGGCTCTGTGCCATCCAACACCCTCCACTGGCTGGGCCTCCAGGCTGTTCACTAAGTCCCTATCCAGTTCTGAGACTCAGCTCATCCTATACCCACTGTACCAGGCCTGGGCTCCCCTCAAACCTACTGCCTCTCGTCTCTTTTGCCTGAGGTAGAACTAGGCAGCTATTGTGGCTGGCAGAAGGAAGTGCCTGCCATCATGATTTCATTTGCAAACCCTCCTCTTCTGCACCATATTACAGGGAATGACCCACTGGCAGCTACTAGCCACCAGGATGACTGTTGTCTCTTCTGTCCTAAGAGCATGTGTAACCTATGCTAGTTCAGCATGGTGCCTTTTCCCCCACAAGCACTGGAGTCTGCTTCTGGATCTAAGGTAGCTTGTTAGCTCAGGCAGTAGGAGCTTGGGCTTTTTAGATTCTGAAGCCCCAAGTCCAGCCCTATTTTCCTGTATGTCCAGGCAACTGTTATAAGTTACAGTGGGTTACAGTAGGTTAAATGTGGCCTCAGACTGTACCGGAGTCCATGGGGCATCCATACCCAACGGCTGTTGGCTACACAGCTCCAAAGCAGCCACCTGAGAACCAGGCCTGGCCAAAGGCCCAGTGACCCCAGCAGGTGTGATGATCATTCCTAGGCATGGGATTGAGCCCTGCAGCCTTTAATAGTAGACCTTCCACCTCCTCACCCCTTTCATTTGAAGGGCCCAGGCCAGATCTTGCTATGAACAGTGCATGGGCCTGATCCTAGCTGCTCTGATGGCAGCATAAGCAATTAAGTGCATGTTTGTAACCTATGGGATGTGCCACCATTGAGAACTGCTGATTTGTCCCAGTCTTGCTGCTCGTCTCCTGCTGACCAAGCTCTGAGGGAAACCTGCCAGCAGACAAATAGCTCAGTTATGAAGGGATGAAAAATAATCTAGTCCCTAATGCTGTGCTTTCAATACTCCATTCATCCCCAATGCAGAGAGGCTCCATTCTGAATAATGTCTCCTTTTGTCTTGCTGGGCCCTCCCCATCCTCATGCTGCAAGTGGCTGAGAGACGGCAGATGAGCGTGCGATGGGCCAGTGGCACATACCTGTTCCCTTGCAAGGCTGGGTGCTCAAAAGGAATCATCCCAGGCTTTCCTTCTCCCCCTCCCACAGAGTGCTGGCTTCCAGATCCACCAGCCTTCCCTCCCTCCAATGCAGGTTGACCGAGGAGGAGGAGCAGGCATTTGTAAGGCACCCAGCCCTCTCTGCTTCCCCTGCCATTCTGTATTATAGGTGATTTTTGGGAAAGAGCCAGGCAGATCAACTGCACTTGGCAGTGGCAGTGTCCAGTTTTAACCATTAAATGCCACACAAGTGACAAAACAGCAATTAACTTCATGGATACAGCACTTCACCTTTCTCACTCTTTGCCCCCACTCCCTCATCTGCCACAGCCCCCTCCCCACCCCCAGTCCAAAATTCCATATTACATCCGGCATATACTAATCTTTAAACCAGGAGGGGGCTGCTTTTCTGGATCCCTGTGTATTGAAAACCAGCTTCATCCAGTTACAAGTTATCATGACACTGCCTATTTGTTTTGGATGGTTTATAAACCTCATACATTACAGCACTGAAAAAGGAACATACCTTTACATGAAAGTCTTTCCCCCTTGGTAACAACTTTGAATGCTCAAAAACATGACTATACGGTCTATGGAGTAGCACAACCTACACATGAATCCTATATACTGCACCTGCAGGTACACACCAGCAAAATACCATTGACACTGCACAGGGCGTTCAAAGTCCCATCACAGTTGTTACACCGATTCATAAATATCATCCGCCACTTATCATGCCAGAACAGCTGTAAAGCAGCTGATGTAAAAAATCTTCCCCTCTGATTTTAATTTGAAACATATTTGGTACAGGAACAAACCTGTGCTTCACTGTACTAGGATTTATTCCACTCAGTAGCATGCCTCTTCTGTGTTTAAACAAGTGAAGCCAGCTTAGGAAAACCCAAAATTCTTTTGAACTGTTTCCCTGCCAGATCACTAGGTACTTGTAATTATCACACTGAGAAAAGAAACATGCCATAAAGCCACATACCTGTTTGGGATTCTCTTTCCGGTATAAAGATGGATATATTAATCCGATAAATAAATCTTTTCTTTTGAAATAAAGAGCTGATTATTTCATTAAAGGGATAAAAAAGGAACCAGAAGTAGCCACTATTTCCCTCTGGCACTGGGAAAAACAGAAGATGGGGGGAAAGACAGGAAATTTTTTGAAATTTAAAAAAAAATAGGAAGGAAGAGGAACAAAGTCTCATCCATCCACCGAAGAGCTCCAGTCTGTCATCTCTGCCACCTTTGGGGAATGGAAGTTACTGCTGTTGGATATGAAGTTGGTTATGATATGAAAATAGTCCCAGGGTGCCGCATCCTGGGATAGATTAGCACCAAAGAAAAAGAAGAGGAGAAAGAAAAAAAAAGAAAAAGAGAAGAAGAGAGAGAGAGAGAGGGAAAAGGGACACCGTTAAGGAGACATAATGGGATGGGGAGTGGCTCAGGTTTCAGCTCGACAGGCAAGAGATACACTCTTAATTTGGGCTCTCACTCAGTGCTAGTGATGGCAAGTGGAGACTGATGCACAGTTTTAATTGAGGGGAGACATTTCCTGAAGAGATTTTGGGGAATTAGGTGAGTCCCCCCCCTCCAAAACCCCTCCCTTGGGTGGCAATCTGCAATAAATGCTTTGCTGCAAGTATTTTGGCCACTTCCCCTCCAGGTAGCCAGCAGCTGGGATGCAGTAGGAGGGGAGGGTTTAACAGCCTCTTGCCTTCTGCAGGTGGCTTACGGGCTACCTGGTCAGTGGGCCCACTGCACGCCAAATTCCTGGGTGAACTCTTCTTCTCCACCTCCCGCCTCTTTACATAGAGCAGAAGGGACAGAACAGAGAAAAGGGGCTCGAAAAGCCACCGTTCGAGTGAGGTAAGGTTCCCTTCAGCCTAGCGCCTGTGGAAGATGGACAGTCCTTTGTCACAGGAGCCCTGCTGAGGTGGGATGAGGGTCACAGGGGAAGCTGGGTGTATAGCCACAGCAGTAAGGTGATTCTGGATAGTGCTATGGCCCATGCAGCAGCACTGTACCAGGGGCCTCTCCGCCCTACATGACAGCCCAAGCAGAGACATAATAGGCAGGCTCCAGGTCCCAGGTGGCCAGGCTGGCAGCAGCTTCCATTCTGGCACCCCTCAAAGTCTGTGCCTGGAGCTGGAGCCTTTAGTGATCCACCATCAGTCACACTACTCAGCTCAGGACTAGGAGGATGCAGAGGTGGCTTAAAATCAGTATGTTCCCCAGACTGAGTTTTGTGCTGCAGCATATCGGTTCTGGCTGCTAGGCTGGACACTGCTGAATTCCTTGGCTAACTATGTTTTATTTGGGTGAGGAAAGTCAGGCCCACCCCTGTGTACATTCAGTTATGTCCTTTTCTCACACACCTCATTCTGTCTTCATACATGCTTTCTTTCAGCAACACTCTGGGAGCAAATTTATCAGTAGCCAGCCTCCAAGTCTCCTGAGTAGGCTGTTTCTGGAGCTGCTGGAGGCATGTGGTTCAAGCAGCATTTGAGAAGCAGAGCAAGGTGGGAATTCTGTATCAAAACTTTTTTCTCTGGAAAGACTGGCTTTTCCATTAGATTATTTTGTGAAAATGGGCACAGCTTTCAATGGAAAATGCAGAATCTTTTCAAAAGGTGTACAGAAAATTCCAGTCTATTTTCCAGCATATTTCCATGGACTCTTTTTGGGCCCTTTCCTTAATGCTTTAATAAAACATCTCAGTGTGCTTTATTAATACTACTTATACTTTAAGTATCTATAGAGCTCCCTGACCATCTTCTCAGGCGATGGGGACAGCTTAACTAATGTTCTTTTTATTGTGTTAGAGGTATTGGGCCAAGTTCAACCAGGCTCACACATCTGTGTGAAGTGCTGGAACCACATGGGGAAGACACCAATGTACTAGATATGCAAGGGTTGTCAGCTGGGGGTACGTGTACCCGTAGGGGTACTTGGAAAGGTCCTACGGGGGTGTGCGTGGGCAGGCAGGGACAGAGCACCGCCACCCACTGTCGCCTCCTAAGAGCAGGACCAGAGGGCAAGGGCAGCAGTGCCCCTCTGCAGGCCACATAGGTACTGCCCAGCTGGGTGGACACAGGGAGGTGGGGAGCTTGCACATGGCAGCCGCCACCATCCACCACACTGCCACACACTGCTTTCCCAAGGCCAGTTGCACATGTGGCTCCGCTGACTGCTGATGGGCAGTGCGTGATTGGCCAGGTGCGAGGCCCATCTTGCAGGCTAATTATGTGTCTGGGGTGGCGGGGATGGACCTATAGATGCTTGCTGGGACTCAGTGCCATAGCAAGGGGTGGGTGGCGAGAGGGGCAGCTGCTTCCCCCCTCCACAGAAGTGAAGGAGTGCCAATAGGCGCTGCCCAACCAGCCGGGGTGGGGGGTGGAGCCGCGAGTGGCTTGTTTGAGGGGAGTACTGGCATGGGGCGAGGGTGGCTCCTGCTGCTGCGTGCACTCCTGGGCAAGCCTGGGAGGGACACGTGCCCCCGGGATCTGTGCGTGGGGTGAGGGTAGGTTGCCACTGCGGGCTTGCTGGAGCAGACTCAGGGAGGCCACTTGTTGCTGAACCCTGTGATGTTTCTGTGCAACCCCCCAACCCTGATGTTGTTGTCACTGCTGGCTCTGTGGTACGTGTTCACTTGAGATGTTTCCATCTTTAAATCTGCACCTGGGGGCTTGCCAGGCCCCGGGGTTTTCTCTCCCTTCTCAGTAATAGGGTAGGCGCCCTGTTACAGTCCCCTTCCCCTGTGCCCAACCCTGGTAACTCAGCTGGATTTGGCACCCACAAAAAAATCTTCTCTCCAGGAACCTGAGGCTAGAAGCTGATTTCAGTCACTCACAAACAGCCTCTGCAAAGCAAACACATTGCTTATTCAGCAAGAGGTATGTAACAGAGAAAAGAGTTAAAGCTGGTACACAACTGATCTAATCTAATCTTTATCCTCAGAGGGAGAAGCAGCTCTGAAGTGACCTGATGTTCAAAGACAGGCTCAGAATATCTCACATCCTGATGTGGAAACTCTGAAATAAGGAACCTGTGAATGCTGGAGACAGCCAAGATCTGTGAGAGATGATGAGCCCAACAGATGCCAAATTGACCTGCACCTAAGAGGAAAATCTGCTCTTCATATAGTCCGTGTGATTGATCCTACCTATTGCCTTTAGTGGGAGTTTTGCCACTATCTTCAAGGAATATAGGAATGGCCTCATGGCCACCCAGCTTGTTCTTCCCTTTAAATTCCTTTTCTTTGTTTTCTTCTGCCATAGAAAGGAGACTAAAAGAATGCAAGTGCCACTAATTGCACTGCTACCCCTCTGTTATTACTTTTATCTGTGGACTCAGTAATTAGCAATTAGGCTTTTAATTTTGTTTCCTAGGAGCACAAGAGCTGTAATTAGGCAGCTCAGAAATGTAAGAGCTTTGGAGGTGTGTTCTGTGTCTGTTTTATTTAAACCTTTGCTGGGAAGGGTGGCATATAAATTGCATGGATATATATATATATACATACATGCACACACAAATAAATAAATAAATAAATAAATACATTCCTGGCCCTACTTGCCCTTTGCAGGGAGCCTGAGGGCTACAAATATCCCACATCAAAATTTGAC